CCCAGGAACTTGCGCACTCCTCGCTGCAGCTCGCCTTGCATTCGCAACGTCGTTAATATTAGTTGAATATCGTTGTCCGTCATAAGAAGTCGCCCCCTTCCCAAACACGTCTTTGGACATCGACAACGGGACATGAATTCGATGGCCCTGGCGACTCCGACGACACAGAGCTTACGCGTTCCATGACATAAGCATGCTTGCTTGCATGCTTGCCAGCCACTTGGATTGTGGGCTTACTGTCGTGATGGGGTGTATGTCTGTTTTATGTTCAGTCTGCTTGCTCGCAGCATCGTTCTACTGCGTGATTGACTGCTCGAGTAATTACTTGTGTGCTTGTTGATGGTCTGGTTGCTTGCGTGCTTGCCTTCGCGCGTGCCTGCGTACTTGCATAGGTGCTTGCGTGGCTTATCGTGCGCTTGATTGTTCGTTTGCCTTCTTTCCTGCAAGCTCGCCCGCTTGCGGGCCTGCTTGCTTGTGTTCACAGGTTCGCATTGCTGATGCTTCATTGCTGGAATGTTTAATTGCTTGTCTGGTTGCGCGCGAATTCATGTGTTAGCTCGACCTTTCTCCTACTTGACTGTCCGCTTACGTGCATGCGTGCATGCGTGCTTGCGTGCTTGTGATAGTTTCTCATCAAGAAAAACGGATACGATTGGCAATGGGCCCGGGCACTGGGCAGCGGGCGGCCGACTGATCAGCATGTTCAGCATGCGCGTGGCGCGGGTGAACAGATGACGTAAGGATGCAGCCGCCGCATGTGGTTTGTGGGCACACGGTGATGGGCGCAGTGGGCGGTCGGCAATGTGGGTACCAGGCATGGGCATTGGGTGCAGCGAGCAGAGGCGCGGAGGCCCAGGGGCGGGCGCCGATGGGCAGCGGGCGGCGCTGGCAGCGTGCGCCAGCAAGGAAGAGCAGTGACTCGAAAACAAACGAGCAGGTGGGCAAGCAGGTGCAGTTGGCAGTGGGCTCACTTGGGAGTGGGCCCAGCAAGCAGTAGGCAATGGAGCAACGAGGAGGAGGATCAGATCGGATCGGATCGGATCGGATGTCCGCGAAGGAGCTGCCATATAACTGCTGCAGGGGGCGTGCTGTGGCCAATCGTGCCACCACAGGCCAAGGAGGAGGATGAGGACGAGGAGGGGGAGGATGATGATGACAAGGAGGACAGAAGATGAGGAGCACGCCCAGCACGTCAGGATGATGATTCTGATGATGCTGATGATGATAATGCTGATGATGACGACTATGATGATGATGATGATGATGATGATGATGATGATGATGATGATGATGAGGATGGCGATGTGGAGGAGGAAGCGGATGATGATGAACGAGGAGGAGCACAATAATGAGGAGGCTGGAAGAAAGGGAAGAGAATGAGGAGGCAGGAGGAGGAAACCGAACCAACATCCTCTCGAAACCGGCCTCCGGACCCATCCCAGGGCTCATCCTGGCAGGTGTCCGAGCGGCGTCCTGGCGCTGCGACGGGGACCTGTGAAAGAGCTAGACAAAACGTCCGAAGCGAAGACGTCCAAGTCAAAGTCGAAGGAAAATGCCGAGCAGCGGAGAGAAGGAAGAGCACAGGAGGAGTAGGAGGAGGAGGAGGAGGAGAGGAGAGGAGAGAAGAGGATAAGAGAGGAGAGGAGAAAGAGCGCGAGAAGAAAGCGGACGCGGTAGGACGGCGAGGAGGAGGAGGGCGAGAAAGAGGATTGAGGAGGAGGAGGGGGAAGAGGAGGAAGAGAAGCAGGAGCACGAGAAGTCTGGAGGAGGAAGGAGGCAGGATTATGGTAGTGATGATGAGGATCATGATGAATATGGTGATGATGATGATGATGATGATGATGATGATGATGATGATGATGATTATGACGATGAGCATGATGCTGATGATGCTGATGATGATGATGATAAGGATGATGAGGATGATGATGGATGATGCGGATGATGATGATAATGATGATGATGATGATGAGGATGATTATGACGATTCTGATGATGACGATAATGATGGTGACGACGACGACAGCGACGATGATGCTGCCGATGAGGAGAATGACGATGACGATAACGACGACGACGATGATGGTGATGATGATGATGGTGATGCTGATGATGAGGAGGATGAGGATGATGATGCGCATGAGGTGATGATGATGACGATGATGATGATGCTTGGGATCATGATGATGATGGTGATGATGATGACGATGATGATGATGATGATGATGATGATGTTGATGATGATGCTGATGACGATGATGATGATGATGATGATGATGATGATGATGATGATGATGATGCTGATGCTGATGCTGATGCTGATGCTGATGCTGATGATGATGATGATGATGATGATGATGATGATGATGATGATGATGAGAAGGAGGAGGAGGAGGAGGAGGATGACTAGGGGGATAAAGGAGGAGGAGGGGGAGGAGGAGGAGGAGGACGAGAAGGACGAGGAGAAGGACGAGGAGTAGGAGGAGGAGGAGGAGGAGGAGGAGGAGGAGGAGAAACAACCCTAGAAAGCGGACCACAAAACAGAAGTAACCTGCACTTTCAGAGGTCTGAGCGGACTTCTTGGGTCGACGCTGGAGCCCCCTTCCCAGCGCTGGTCCAAGAAGTCCGCGCGGACCTCCGAAAATCTATGTGTATGCCACTCTGTGCTCTCTTCGACTGCGCACCAACATGGGGGCCCTACCCCTGCAGGCCCGCCCGGCCCACGCCAGCCAACATGTGCACCTTAGATCTCTGAAGTGCTGGCGGGGGCCCAAAGTCGAAGGATTGCAAAAAAACGAAGGATTGCAGGATTGCAAAAAAACTAAGAAGGTTTGCAGAAAAACCGAAGGATTGCAAAAAAACCGAAGGTTTTTTTGCAATCCGATGTCTGCAATCAGTCGACCCCAGCGAGGATGTCCGAGACCCCAGCGACAGCAGGACCCGCGGGGGTCGGGTTCGCCAGTGGCCGCATACCGACATCAGAGTGAGGGGGCCGAACGGTCATTCACTGTCCCTGGGCGCGTGGCTGAAAGGAGGCCCTGCGGTGCGGATTTGTCGTTGCATGTTAGTTGCTAAACGATTATTCTTGTTGGAACCCCCAGGCGCTTTGGTGCTCTCGCCTCGGCGCCGGCTGCATTTCCTTGACAATGAGGCTCACGCTCGAGCGGCTTGGGGGGGCGCCGAAACCAGCCCCCCAACAACGACAACGCTCCCGCTCGAGACTTCCTCCTTTCTTGCTCAGGGCCGGTGCTCTTGCTCGCCGCCGAAAGCCGCCGCCCCAACAAAACCAGCGCTCCCGCTCCGGACTTTTCCCCGTTTTTACCTTGGACTGGCGAGCTACTCTTTCTCTCATCGGCGCCGCTCCCAGCAACAACAACGCTCCCGCTCGAGACTTCCTGTTTTGCTCAAGGCGGTGCTCCTCCTCGCCGCTGAAAACTGCTGTTTTGATAAAACCAGCGCTCTCGCCCGAGACTTCCTCCCGTTTTACGCTGGACTGGCGCCCTACTCTCTTTTGAATTGGCGCCGCTCACAGCAAGAACAACGCTCCTGCTCGAGGCTTTCCCCCTTTTTACTCAAGACGGTGCTGCTCCTCGCCGCCGACAGCCCCGTCCCGACAAAACCACGGCTCCCGCTCGAGGCTTCCCCCCTTCTTATTCAAGGCGGTGTTCCTCCTCGCCGCCGAAAGCCGCCGTCTCAACAAAACCAGCGTTTCCGCTGGAGACTTCGTTTTGTTTTGCGCTGGACTAGCGCCCTACTCTCTTCAGCGTTGGCGCCGCTCCCAGCAACAACAGCGGACCTGCTCGAGACTTCCTCCCTTTCTATTCAGGGCCAGGAGGTCCTTGCCTCGCCGCCTACAGCCCCCATCCCCACCAAGGCAATCCTGTCGCTCGATACTTCCTTGTGATTTACCCTTGGCTGGGGCTCCACTGGCGGTCTCGCATCGGCGCAGCAAGGCGCGGGCATGTGTTTTCGAGGCGGGATATGTTGAAATTCCTCGGAGGTGTTTTCAAGACCTCATTGGGCGGGAGATCTGGGAATGGGAATAACGGACCTCGCTGTAGATCCCCCAAGATGGGGATGGTTATCATGATGGTCGCATGCTTCGTGTGGAAACATCGCGCATGCGGGTAAAATGCGTGTTGTTGTTGCTATTGTTGTTGTTGTTGTTGTTGTTGTTGTTGTTGTTATTGTTGTTGTTATTGTTGCTTGTTGTCATCGTCCCCCCCGCGACCCGGCCGGCGACCCACCCGCGACCCACCCACGACCCACCCGCGATTCGCCCGCGACCCACCCCGCGACCCACCCCGCGACCCACCCGCGACCACCCCGCGACCCACCCCGCGACCCGCCCGCGATCCACATGCGACCCACCCGCGACCCGCGAACCACCTGCGACCCGGCCGGCGACCCACCCGCGACCCGCCCGCGACCTACCCGCGACCCATCCCACGATCCACCCACATTGCTTTAACGAAAAAATTGGCGCCTGCGGCGGGCTCGCTGCATACATTGTAAAAGTTAGGCGCCTGTGGCAAGCTTCTTCAGAGCCTCGCAGACTGACGACGTCCTCGCCGCCCCCTCACTCTTATCCGCAACTGCGGGGTGCTACGTATCGGGGAGACGTACGACTCGGATTCAGGGGACTCGGGTTGGCCTGACGGGGCCGTCCAGAAAATGACGAGACCCACTCAGAAATCTGACGCGAACTCCCGCAGTATAACGATCCCACGGAAAAGTTCGTCAGAATCGAGGACGGACTCATCAAACACTGGCTACACGAGAAAGTGACCCGAGGCAAGAACGACCTTTGGTGCGCAACTTTAGGGGGGCGCCGGGCGGGTCAGACTCGAGTGCGCAAGGCGCTGTTAATCATCGCATCGCGTTCAGCCATCTGAAGACCCTCATGTGCCCGCACCTGGGCTCCAGAAGCGGTAGGTTCCGGAAACCCTGAACACCAAAATCCTTGCCATCTCTTGGGAGGCCGATTTGTACTTCTGCCGCCTTCCGCCAGCCTCTCGCCGATGAAGAGATGACAACCCCTTGGATCCTCAAAGGCGAGGCCTCTCTTGGAGCGCCCCACGTGCAGCCGAAAGCGTCGGCAAACCGAATTTCGGCGATCTCGAGTCGTACGCTTTCCTGGCATCAGCGGGAACGCGTTTCCCGGGCCGCGGGCCGCGGCGCGCGTCCGGAGCTTCGCCGCTGCTGCGGGTCGCTACTCGAACAGGCTCCGCAGGCGGGCGTCGTCGTCCCGGAGGAGCTCTGGCCGCAACGTCGCGTCGGCCCAGCCGCCCGCCTTTTGTATAATGGATGTTCTGTTTTGCTTTTTTGTTCTCTGTTCCCTACCATCCTGCGGTGTTGGGTCCTCATTGTGAAGAGACAGCGCCTGACGTCACTCAGCTCACCCCTCTCCTCCTCCATCCCTCCTCCAATCCCTGCCTCTGCTCTCCGCATGTCCATTCCGTCACACCCCTCACACGCTGGTGGCCTCATAGGGAGCTCCACTGGAGGTCCCAATGGCAAAGTTCGCATGCGGTTCCCCGCAATTTCAGCACACCTCAACGTTCCGTTGCACTATACGGAGCTCCACCGAAGGCCCCCAAAGCAAAGTTGGCATGCGGTTCACCGCGCATGGCAGCACAACAATCACATTTTTCGTGGCTCCACTGGAAGCTCCACCGAATGCCCCAGTGGAAAAGTTGGCATGCGGTTCCCCGCCCATTTGCGGTACATCTCTCACACGTTTCGTGGCGTCATATGGGGGCTCCACCGAAGGCCCCAGTGGCAAAATTCGCATGCGGTTCCCCGCCCACTTCGGCACACCTCAACGTCGCGTGGCTCTAGAAGGCAGCTCCACCGAAGGCCCCAGTGGCAAAGTTCGCATGCGGTTACCCGCCCGCTTCTTCACACCCCTCACACGTTTCGTGGCACCATGGTGAGCTCCACCGATGGCCTCAGTGGCAAAGTTCGCATGCGGTTCCCCGCCCATTTCGGCACATCCCTCAACGTCTCGTGGCCCCATGGGGGGCTCTACTGAATGTCTCAGTGGCAAAGTTCGCATGCGGGTCCCCGCCCACTTCGGCACACCCCTCACACGTGTCGTGGTCCCATAGGGAGCTCCACCGAAGGCCCCAGTGGCAAAGTTAGCATGCGGTTCCCCATAGGGAGCTCCACTGAAGGCCCCAGTGGCAAAGTTCACAGTTTCGTGGCCACATGGGGAGCTCCACCGAATGCCCCAGCGGTTCCCCGCCCGTTTCGTCATGCCCGTCACATGTTTCGCGGTTCCAAAAGGGGGCTCCACCGAATGCGGTGCCACAACGCGGTACGCACAACTGCACATGGTTATGCCCTTCGCCAATATCATTTTTCATCATCAGGCTGCTGCAAAGCTGCCGAGCTCTGACTTCTGAAAAAGGATTCCAGATATGCTCCCGTCGTGATGTGTTTCTGCCTATCTGCTGCATTGTTGCTAAGCCCTCCCTTGTGAAGATCAATCCCAGACATACTCGCGTCGCGGGCAAGATCACGCCGAAGGGCTTTGCCTGTGTTCGGCCTCTGGGGGCCCTCGCTGGGCCTGGGCCATCAACAAACGACTCGGGATCAAAAGCCGCGGAGAAGGGGTCGAGACTTCTGGGGGCCCTGCAACAAAAACAGAACGTCGGCTGCCTGGGACTGCTGCTCTCTCTGTCCGGTGCCCATGGTGCTCTTTCAATGGGTGCGGGGCAAAAGTGCCAGCCGCACCCTTGGAGCCTCAAGGGGCCCCAAACGGGCCAAGAGGGCCCCAAAGGCTCCCCGGACGGTCCAAGAGGGATACGAGTCGCCGAAAGATCGCTCCAAGACGCCCAAGACTGCCTCCAGATGGCCCCAGAAGCCTCCAAGACGCCACCAAGAGGCGTCCCAAGAGGCCCTCCAGAAGCAAACATCGCCCCATTCCCGATGTTTTTAGCACTTTTGCCTCTTGGGCTCTCACGAGGCCCACAACGGTCCAAGAAGCCTTCAAGATCGACCCAAGATAGCCCAAGAGGCCCCCAAGTGGGCTCCAAGACGGCCCAAGAGGGCCCCAAGACGGCCCCAGAAGCTTCCAAAACGGCACAGGAGGGCCCCAGGACGGCCAAGAGGAGGCCCAGAGGGGGAACCCGAATGTACATTTCGAGCGCTAGGCCCCGAAAAAACCAGAGGAGGCACCAAGAGGACCCCAAGAGGCTCCCACGAGGCCCCCGAGAGGCCCAAAAGAGGCCTCAACACGGCCCCCAAGAGGTTTCAAAAACGCTGCCAAGAGAGCCCAGAGAAGCTCAAGAGCAGAGCCGCGATCCGCCAAACGCCCCCGACGAAATCCCAAGAAGCTGAAACCCTAAGATTCATTCCCCAGAACTCGCGCGCGTTCCGCAAACTCCCTTTTTTACTCTTACTGCCACCCCAAGGGGTCGGCGGTGCGGCGTCAGCCAATGAATCGTCCCCAGACTATTTTTTTTGTATTCTTGAATATTCCTTCTGTGGAGGGACAGGCCCGACTTAATGCTCGCAGAAGCCAGGCGAAGGCGGCGAAGGCTGGCAAACCTGTGGCTGCTAAAACGGAGCTCTGGGACATTGTTTTTTTCTTCCTGGGAAGCAACCTGGTTACTCCTCAATGCGCTGCGCTTTATTCCGGGAATTTGTTTTCTTTCTTCCGGGAAGACCGTTCTAGCAGCCACGAATTTGCCAGCCCTCGCCCAGCTTCTGATGCTGGCTTGGGCGCCCCCCTGGGCGGGCTCGCCTGGGGCCAGCCTTGCTGTGGCCGCGGCGGGGCCGCAACGGCCGCCCCGCCGCCCAACCTCTGCTGGGGCGAAGCGGCGGCCGCGCCCAGCTGCTGCCGGACCGCGCTGGCAGAGGAGCAAACAGCGTCACAGACATGACTTCTCCGAGGTCCGCGCGGACTTCGGGGATCGGCGCTGAGCTCCCCACCCATCAGATCCTGGCGTTGCAAGCTTTAGCACCGGGCGTTTTCGCGTGGCTTCGAGCCCTGGGACCCTCACAGATCGATCTGGCTCGAGAAATGACGCAGAACTATGGCGTCTGGGGCTCCCTCGGGTCGTGCTTCTTCGCGATGGTGCACTTTTATGAAACAGTCAGACCTGAAGGCCCCTCGCGCGCGGAGCGCGCCAGGGGCGGCACCGAAGGCGCCGCCAGAAGGGCCCCAGCGTAAATCCCAGAAGCCAGCGCCGACCTCCGAGAGATTATGCCTGTGCTGCTGTCTGCTCCTCGAGCTGAGCCCTCCGATTTCGATGGTCGGCTAGACGTAGGAGGCACCCCAGGCAAGAGCGGCCTTTGGTGCGCGGCTCCACGGGGCCGCGGCGGAGCCAAACCGGATCGCGCAGGCCAGGGCTGGGGGGGGGGCCCTGTGCACCCGCACTCCAGGTCGCTGCGGCGAAGGGGCCCTCTTCCCCGAGATCCGACGCTGCGAAACAGCTGCAACCTCGTGGTGAACATTGCGACCGGAGCTCCGGACTCCCCCTCGTCCTGCGCCGATTCTCGAGCCGCGTCGAGCCGGGAGGGCCCCGGGGGCCCGAAGAGCCGAGCGCGGAGACACGCCCGGCGCGAGCAACAAAGTGCAGCGCCCAGCTCCCAGGGCTGCTACGCGCAGCCGAGATGGGCGGCGCTGGCTGCTGGCGGAGGAGGCCGGCGACGGCAGCGTCGTCGCCAGCGAGGCGCAGGGCGCTCCACGGCGCCGCCGCGGCCGCGCCGCCGCCCGGCGGCCGCCACGGCGGGCTGGGCGGCGCGGCGGGGGGCCCGCCGGACAGCAGGAGCCGCAGGGCGTCGTCGTCGCGGCCGGGCTGCGCCTCCTCCGAGGAGGTCCGCGGGTGCTGCACTTTTCGGAAGGGGCCCTGGGACTCACAAATAAATGCACACAAATAAAAAGATTCCCCATATTGTCCCATGTTTTCTGGATTTTTGTCTTCCCGCCCAATTCCCATATTTTCCGATATTTTCCTGGCACTCGACGATTAATTGTGTCTGTGTGTTTCTTTCCCTCCTGATTTTCGGGGGCGCGCAGACATGGATTGGCGATCCATGGATTGGGCGCGCGGTCGCCAGATCCACGGATCGGGGGAGATGCCCTCCCCCAAATGCGGCTGGTGCCGCCTCCTTCGGCGGCGGGAATCCGCGATTTCCCATGGAAGCGGGACCCGTCGCTAATCCACGGCCCCTTGATCCATGTTTGCGATCGCCTGAATTTTGTGCTCGCTCCAGGCGTCTCCGCGCGGTGCAGTCGCGCATGATTGGAGAGGACACGCGAGAGGACGCAAGACCCTTCCGAGGGCTGCATTGCCGCAGGAATGTGAAAGGCACGGGCCACGAAAGACAGGTCACAAGGGTGCCCTTGACTTGGCAAGGGCGACCTACTAATCAGGGCAGACTGTATGAGCAATTCTCTTTGATTCGCGGTGACGCCCGTGACCAGCCCCGTCGTTCCCCCTCCTCCCAGGTCGCGCCCATTATCGCCAGGGGATAACAACTGTTTCTTTCGGGCGTGGGACCATCACAGATCGATCTGGCCCGAACATCGGCAGCACACAAATGGGGTCCGGGGCTCTGGTCGTGATTTCTCACGCCGTTGCAACTCGTTCGCGACGTCGGCTCTCAAGGTTTCCGCGCCGCTGGAAGGCACGCACTGTGCCCTCGGCGCGGCGCATTGCCAGACACGCTTGCGTTAGGTCGGGCGTGTCCCATACAGGCGGATTTGAGAGGAGAAATAATCAATACCCCAAAAATGCCCCCCCAAAATTCAAAAATACAAATCGTACCCAGACTATTTTTTGACTATTTTTGAATTTCCCTCCTGTAGAGGGACAGGCCCGACTGAATGCCAGACGCGCTTGCGTCGGGACGAGAAGCACGGCGGTAAATGTCTTGGCCGCCTGTGGCCGTCGGTGGCCCTCGCCTGGGTCCTGGGGCCGTCCAGCCAAAAACTCGGGATGAAAGACCGGCCCTGGCCCTATGGTAAAGGGGCCCAGGGACGCACAAAGAAACACGCACAATTCCCAGGATGCCCCCTATTTTCCCATATATCTTCGGGTCTTCGTCTTCCCCCCCGCCCCCCATGTCCCCTGCTTTCCCATGTTTTCCTGGGGGGTCGACGATCAACTGTGTCTGTGTGCTTCTTCCCTCCTGATGGGTGGCCTGAGGTCGGGCATGTCCTCCTGCGGGCGGATTTTAGAAGAAAAATAAAAAGAGTCATATGGATATATCTATAGGTGTGTGTGTGTATATATGTGTATACATACAAATATGTTTATAGCATAGATGTGTATATATATATATATATGTATTTATGCAGATATGTACATATATTTCTATATAAAAATAAGTGTTTACTAGAACCATCGCGCGCGCTTCGCGCGCGCTCAAGTTCTAGCTAGGCTTGATAGGCTAACTCATGTCATCTCATTTTGGTCGCTTCTTGCGTCCAGGGACTCCCTTGGAAGCCCTGCGCAAGCCTCGGAATCATATAGAAGGGGAAACGCGGAAACGCAGACATCATTACTTTCCTTTAGGTATTCAACGATTTGGGGCCCTCAAAGGCTTCCTGGGTTCTTGTTTGGGAGGTGAGGGGGGTCTGAATTTTGGTCTGTTGTGCAAGAGTAGACTGGGGGCCAAACTCGAAACAAAAATGGGAATTGTGGGATTTCCATGTTTTTCCAGTTCCTCGGCGCTGTTTTTTTGCTTGTGCCTCGCAGGTTTTGTTAGCCGGGCCCCTCAGGGGTGTGGGATCTTCCAGACCCCCTGGCGCTGTGGAGGCCCCCCAGAACACCCGGGGGAGGGGTACCGGGAGCGTTCCCGAGATGTCACGGGGAGGTGTGGCACCCGGGGCCGGGGGGGCTCTATTGGGGTGCCTCTTGGGGCGTTTTCGGGGCCTCTTTTGGTGTTCTTTCGGGTCTCATGGGGGCCTCTTGGGGAGTGGGCGCTTCTTGGAGCTTCTTGGCGTCTCCTGGAGGTCTCTGTTTCCGGTTCCTCGTCCCCGTCTTGGGCGCCGCCTTGGGGCGTTCTTGGGCGGTTTGGGCGCCTCGTGGGCCGTCTTGGCCCCCTCGTGGGCCGTCTTGGGGCCCTCTTGGGGGCATCCTCGACTGGCTTGGGTGCCTCTCGGGCTGTCTTGGACGCAATGGACGCCCAAAAGGCGAACACGTCACAAATATAAGTTTCCCAATCGGAAATCGACGATGTTTGCTTATTGGGCGCTCTATTGGGGTGCCTCTTGGGCCGTCTTCGGGACCTCTTTTGGTGTTCTTTCGGTTCTCATGGGGGCCTCTTGGGGCTTCTGGGCCCCCTCTTGGAGCCTCCTGGGGTCTCCTGGGGGCCTCTTGGGCCAAAAGGTGCGAATTTCCAGTTCTTCGTCCCCGTCTTGGGCGCCGCCTTGGGGCGTTCTTGGGCGCCTCGTGGGCTGTCTTGGCCCCCTCGTGGGCCGTCTTGGGACCATCTTGGGGGCATCCTCGACTGGCTTGGGTGCCTCTTGGGCCGTCTTGGACGCAGTGGACGGCCGCCTGTTGGGGCTTCTGGGCCCCTTCTTGGAGTCTCTTGGGGTCTCCTGGGGGTCTCTTGGGCCAAAAGGCCAGAATTTCCGGTTCCTCGTCCCCGTCTTGGGCGCCGCCTTGGGACGTTTTTGGACGCTTTGGGCGCCTCGTGGGCTGTCTTGGCCCCCTCGTGGGCCGTCTTGGGGCCCTCTTGGGGGCATCCTCGACCAGCTTGGGTGCCTCTTGGGCCGTCTTGGACGCAGTGGACGGCCAAAAGGCAAACACGCCCAAAATATCAGTTTTCCCATGGGATATCGACGACTTTTTGATATTGGGCCTCTCTCGGGGTGCCTCTCGGAGCGTATTTGGGGCCTTCGGGGGCCTTCTTGGCGTCATGGGAGTCGTCTTGAAAGGCGTCTGGAGCATCGCTGCGGCCTCCTGGGGCTTCCCGGCCCTGTTGGCCCCTGGTCGCCGAAACCCTTTCAAAAAACAGGGAAAACAACGCCCTGGCCCCACATTTGCGGTTGTGGTCGTGGCCCCCGGCCCCCGGACCCGGTCCCCCGTTATATGTATATACATATACAAGATTTTAGGGCTCGCTGCGCTTCGCCTCCTAGTCTTGATCATTGCACCTACATGTTTAATTGACTCTGCGGTTCGCGTATTGATGTAGCCGCAGTGTTGCTACGACCCATTCCCGATCCTGACGTTGGGGGTGCTAAGCTGGCGCAGCCCCGATTGGCAACAGACCCGACGTGTTCCGTCCAAACCGAACGCCAGGTTCGGCAATCGCCCAGCACGAAGGGTTGGCAGCTGCGGTCGCCAGTTGTCTCGCGCGGGAGGTGGCGCTCGCAAAAGACGGATTTAGCCGAGGCTCAAACGAGAGCACCAGTCTCACACACGGGTGCGGCCGGCGTTGTGGCGGTAGCACAAATCTTGGAAATGGATGTGGCTGGCGCTTGGGCGGAACACCATTCTCCCATGAGGGCTGTGGGAACCGTGCGAGTGGAGCGGCATCACAATAGTCAATGAGGGTGAGTGCCGCGTTCCATGAAGGATTTGGCCAGCGCGCAGACGGCAGCATGACTCCCAGACAGGGGTGTGGCCAGCGCTCGGGCGAGAGCGCCAATCCCATTCAGGAATGGGGCTTGTGCGCGACCCGCAGCATCATCTGCAAGGCGGCCTGTGGCCGGCTCTGAGGCGACAGTACCGCTCGTACGGGAGTGTGGTCAGTGCTGGGGTGGCTGCGCCAATCTTGTTTCAGGATGCGGCCACGCATGGGCGAGAACACCATTGCCGAAGTATTACAAGCCGCGTGAGCGAAGCGAAGGAGGAGGAGGAGGAGGAGGAGAAGGAGGAGGAGGAGGAGGAGGAGGAGGAGGAGGAGGAGAAGGAGGAGGAGGAGGAGGAGGAAGGGGAGGAGGTGAAGGAGGAGGAGGAGGAGGAGGAGGAGGGGGGGGGAGGAGGAGAGGAGGAGGAGAGAAACAGGAAGAGGAGGAGGAGGAGGAGGAGGAGGAGGAGGAGGCGGAGGAGGGGGAGGAGGGGAGGAGGAGAAGTGGGCTGTGGGAAGGCTGAGAAAGTGCTAGCGATGATCCTACGGCCCCGTAGGAAGGCAGGGTTCACATAGCGTCCCCCTGGGAGCTCCACTTGCGGGTCCAATGTCAAAATTCGTACGGTTCCGCCTGTCTCGGCACACCCATCACACGGATCGTGTCCCAGAGGGATGTAGTTCACGTGCGGCCATAGGCAGAGGATTCGCGTAACGTCACGTCCCCTTGCGTATGTCGACTGTCTCCTCACAAGGATCGTACCCCACAGGGAGTTGCACGGACGGCCCCAGAGCCAAGGTTCGCATCCCGCCGCCTCGCCCATGCGGGCGCACCCCTTGCCTGGACCGTGAGTCGGGGGCATTTGTAGTGCTTCTCGGGGCCTGGCGGCGTTTGTTTGTGGGGCCTCTTGAAGCCCTGAGGTGATTCGTGAATCGGGGGCCTCTTGGAGCCTTGGGAAGCTTCCTGGGAGTCTTTTGGAAGCATTCTGGAAACTCTGGGGGCCTCTTGGGCTTTCTTGGGGGTCCTTTTGGGGTCATTTTGGGCCCGCTGTGGGCCCTCTTGGGCTGGTCCTGGGGCCCTCGTGGGTCGTCCTGGGGGGCTGGGGCTGCCTTGGAGCCCTCTGGGGGCTCTCTTCGGCCGTCCAGGGCCTCCTATGGCCCTCTTGGAGCTCCCTTGGGGCCCCTGTGGGACCCTCTGGGGCCCTCTTGGCCGTCTTGGGGGGAGCCCTCTTGGGCGGTCTTCGGACTCTCTTGGGTCTTGGGGGCCTCTTGGGCCATCGGCCATCGGGTGCCCCGTAGGGCTGGGCTATCTTGGGCGCGCCCCTGGGCGTCTGTGGGGCGCGCTGCACGCCGTCTTGGAGCCAACTTGGGCGTCTGGGGGCTCTGCTGGGCCGTTTTGGGGCCGTCTTGATGCCTCTTGGGCCGTCTTGGGGGGATCTCGGAAGCCCCTTGGACCGTCGTGGGATGCAGGATGTCCGGAATGACGAGGACTTCAAAATCTGTCAGAAGCCTTCCGAAAAGCGTTGATTTTTGCTTGTCGCGGCGCTCCTGGGAGTCTTGTGGCCCCGTTAGGGGCCGTTTGGGAGCCGTCCTCGAGCGTCTTGGGCCGTCGGGGAGCCACGAAAAGCGTTTCAGCCGATCGTTCGACGCGCGGGTTGCTGGTTGGGTAATCTTGGAAGTCCGCTCGAAAAGTGCCCTGGGGCCAGGGAGGACCGTCAACAAAAAGGTAGTATGTGCGCGCGCGTGTGCGTGTGTGTGTGTGTGTGTGTGTGTGTGTGTGTGTGGCCATCCGGGGGGGCTTTCCATGCAGGATGTTTAATTATAACAACATTTGCAAACATGGTCAAAACTCGTCAGAAAATCGTGGCCCTTCCCCACTCAAAGCTTGCTTCTGTAGGGGTCCCAGCGGATTCATATGGTTAAGTGAACTTTGCTGCCGATTTCCGCGGCCGCCCGGGTGATCGGGTGCCGGGGTGCCTTCTAGCCCCATAGCCCTAGAGCCCCCTGGCCCTGTAGCCCTATAGCCCTATAGTCTTATAGCTCTATAGCCCTATAGCCCAATAGCCCTATAGCCCTGTAGCCCCATAGCCCTATAGCCCTATAGCCTTATAGCCTTATAGTCCGATAGACCTATAGCCCTGTAGCCTTATAGCCCCATCGCCCTATAGCTCTATAGCTGGATCTGCCTATAGCCCTATAGCCCTATAAACCGATGCCCCATACAGACCTATGAACTATAGCCCTATGGTCCTACAGCCCCACAGCCCCTATAGACTCATAGCCCTATGGCCCTCTGGCCCTATAGTTCCATAGCCCTACAGCCCTATAGCTCTATGGCCCTATAGTAACAGACCAATAACCCAATGGCCCTATAGCCCCATAGCTCTGTAGCCCCATATCCCCATCGCCCTATAGCCCAATAGTCCCATAGCGCTAAAAAGACTTTGATTGGGTTTTTTCTCCGGTATCGTTGTACTATTTTTTTGGCCATTCTGGAATCTTCCTCCCGTAGAGGGACCTGCTCGACTCAACCCTAAGGGAGACCCCGCCTCGACGGGATCCTGGCCCCATGGGGACCACGCCTCGAGGAGCTCACGGCGTCGCAATATGTCTGGGTGGCGGCCCTCCTGGCCGAGAGGCCCGGAGATCCCGGGGCCGAAGCCGGGCCCGTCCCCCTGCGGGAGGGACGTCCCAAAATCGTGCAGAAAAGTGTCCGGGGACGCCTTTCGACCATGTTTGCATAGTTTTCTTGACTCTTTTTGGACTGCTTTTCAAGTGTTGCCCAAGTCCGCCTGTGGGAGGACATGCCCGACCTGAGCCTGGGCCTGAGCGCCGCCTCCTGGGGCCCTCCTCCGGGCTGGCCCGCGTGGCCCGCCCGGGGCACGGGCGGTGCGGCGCACGGCCCCGCAGAGGTGAGGTCGGGCATGGCCCCCTGCAGGCGGGTTTTGGAGAAAAGTCTTGGACAGATCAGAAGCTATTCGAAACCAGCCACGAAGAATCAGAAAGTCATCCACAGACTGTTTCTGGACTGCTTTTGACTAATTCCTCCTGTAGAGGGACATGCCCGGCTTAACGTAGGGGCGGCGCTGCAGATGACGTGTATTAGGTCGGGCATGTCCTCCCACAGGCGGATTCTGGAAGACACATAACACAGAGTCAAAAAACATACTCAGCAACAATCGAACAAAAACGCAAGATCGTCACCCGACTATTATTCAATACTGCTCTTGCAGAGAGACATGCCCGACTTCAATCTGGCGCTGCAAAGGCCTTGCAGCAGCGCAGCAGATCACCAGCAAAACCCTGGATCCAATCTTCCAAGAACCCCTCGCGCCGTGAAACAATCTCGACGTTTTTTTTGTTTCGCCATTTTCTGCCTCCCGGGGCCCTTCCCGGGCCTCGGGACCGTCAGCAATCGACTCAAGAGGAAAAAATGGTCCCTGGGAACGGGTCGACGTCGGGGGTCTGGGTTCAAGTCGGGCCTGTCCTCCTAAAGGGGGATTTTGGACGAAGAATAAACAATAGTCAAACATACCCCAAAATGGTCAACAAATGCTCAAAACATCGTTCCCATATTATTTTCGAGACTATTTTTGAGTATTCCTCCTGTCGAGGGACACGCCCGACTTCAGTCTGGGCTTCCCAAGCACTTTCCGAGCTGGGTCGGTGTTGGAAGCTTCCGGGGCCCGAGGCCACGCGAAGACGCCCGCCGTGAACAATTGGCAACGCCCGTGCCAAGAGGCCTCCCAAGTGTTGGGGGATGAGAAAGCACCCCAACCCTGGGGCTTTGCTGTGTTCCTGCTCGCTGACATTTGTCACGGTTGCGGAGCTGCACTGTCAGTCCCGCGCTTTCCTGTGGCTTTGCTGTGCTCCTGCTCGCAGCGCGCACCGCCAGAGGCGGCGGAGAGCTTGAGAGATCCACCCAACAAAAAGAACCCTGGGTTAAAGTGCGTGGTCTGTAAACCTCCTGGGAGCCGCTAGGACGCCGCGCGACACGCGCGAAACGCAGCGTTTACCCTGTCAGCCCACAGGAGGTTCAGCGCACAGCGCCTCGTAAACCAGGGTAGGGGCGATTCTTAAGCCCTTGAAAACGGGGTGCGAGTAGATTGGGTCGGAGGATGGCGCCGCATCGGCGATGCATTGGCGACATCGGTGATGCGTGGGCGACGTCGACGTGACGAACATCAGGATCCACACTGAGCCGCATCGTCCACGCACTGGCGACGCGGCGCCATCTGCTCGGACTCCGCCCGGGAAGCTCAGATGTGCGGATCCTCCGCCGTGAGCCCCCCTCTCAGCAGGTGCCTCACGGCGTCGTCGTCCCGGGCGACCTGCGACTCCGGAGGAGGGGGAGGGGGAGGAGGGGGGGGGGGAGGAGGAGGGGAGGGGAGGAGGAGGAGGAGGAGGAGGAGGAGGAGGAGGAGGAGGAGGAGGAGGAGGAGGAGGAGGGAGGAGGAGGAGGAGGAGGAGGAGGAAGGAAGGAGGAGGAGGAGGAGGAGGAGGAGGAGGAGGAGGAGGAGGAGGAGGAGGAGGAGGAGGAGGAGGAGGAGGAGAGGAGGAGGAGGGAGGAGGAGGAGGAGGAGGAGGAGGAGGAGGGAGGAGGGGAGGAGGGAGGAGGAGGAGGAAGGAGGAGGAGGAGGAGGAGGAGGGAGGAGGAGGAGGAGGAGGAGGAGGAGGAGGAGGAAGGAGGAAGGGAAGGAGGAGGAGGAGGAGGAGGAGGAGGAGGAGGAGGAGGAGGAGGAGGAGGGAGGGGGAGGAGGAGGGGGGAGGAGGAGGAGGAGGAGGAGGAGGCCTGCGACTCCCTGTCGCGGGCCGCGGCCTGCCCCAGCAGCAGCGAGATCAGGCGGTCGTCCGCGGACTGCTGCGCGGCCTCCGCCGGCGGCCGGCCCGCCTCCGCGCTCCTGCCGGCAGAGGGCGGCGCAGCAAAGACGGCCATCTCGGGCCCGCCTCCTCCACCTCCTCCTCCCTC